CTGGTGGCACGGCCACGGCATCTCTCCTCGCCTGCTTATCAGAGGCCATGTTGTGTGCGTGTAACCGTGGCTATTCATCTGGGCTCCCACTGTCACCCTTCTCTTTTCCCCCCTCACCAGTGGGCGCCTGCACGAGGCCTCTCCCTGTCCCTCTCGGCATGGTGGACTGGTGTGGAGGGGGCTCGCGCTGAGGAACAGGGCGGCAGTGGGAGCTGTCAGAGCACTGCACAAGTGCTGGGATGGCAAGGCAAATTGCCTTCATGCAGAGGGGCCGGTGGGTCCTCCAGGGTACAGAAAGTGGAGCCCTTCCTTCCTGTTAGCAGTCTCCTCTCTTTGCCAGGTTGTGTTTGCTGCTCGTCTCAAGGATGCGCGTTTCCCCCTGCCCTTGGTCAGTCTGTTAGAGTAGCAGTAGCAGGCTTGGTGCTGCTAGTGCTTCTGGAAGTCTCTTGGTTGAGCCTCAATCTCCTTGGCTTGGCTGCCTCCGCTGGTACTTGTAGTCCAGTTGGCCACTGCTGTGCTGGTGGCTTTCAGAAAGTACAGAGAAGAGGGTCCAGTCCCTGCTTAGCTGATGGCTGGATGTGTGCGTGTAAAGTGTGTGCACCTGGATGTCAGGGTATCCCAAGTGTGTGTGCGCGCTCGCTGCGGTGCTGCTCCCTGTTTGGTGAGAGGTCAGCAGAGGTGCCCATTACTGGTTATAGTGGTCAGTAGAGGTGCCTGTTACTGGTTGTAGGAGAGCTGGGAGTGGGAGGCTCATGGCATATGTAAGGAGGATGGTGCAAATGCAGGAATGTGGGGCAACTGGCATGGCTGAGGAGGATGCTGTTATGGCTCATTACTAGACAGCACTGCAGGTCTTCTCCAGTTGTCAGTGTGGGCTCGTTCAGAGCCCAAGATGTGTGTCTGTGCTGGGGGGAGCCCGGTTGTGGTGAAGAGGAAAGTAAGCGAGCTTAAATATTCTTTTGAGCCTTTCTGAAGTGCATCTCCTGCAGTGCAAAATCCTGCACAGCCGACATGTGCCAGCAGGCAGGAGTGCTGCGTTTCAGACCTCTGCAGCAGTCTCCGGTGACAGAGCAGGATTTGATTGTGTAGTCCCAGTCGAATATAGCCGCCGTGAACGAAAACACTGTGCGGCGTCCAATACAGTGAGTTAGACCTGCCTACCCTCCTAGCCAGACGCGTGGCTGGGTCTCCAGCGGGGTGTGTGGGGGGGAGATGCTGCCCCACTTCATCTGCCTCTGCCCTGACTGCTGGATTTTTGGCTCTCATGGTACTGCACTTGACGGCTATTCTTCCCTGGATAAATGTGAGAGGCAGGAGTGCTGGGGGGGAGGTGGGGGTTGTGAATAATGGTGATGGTAGGAGGGGTTTGTTCCAGTCTGGACTGGTCCAGTCTAGTTCTTCCCTTCCTGTCACCGTGTGAACAATGCTGCTGCCGCCGCGGCTGATGGTTGCGACACGGCAGCCCCCCCCCCCTGTGCTTCCGGCTGTGGTGAGCTCCGTTCCCCGCCTGCTCTGCCTGCCCTGGGCCGAGCCCCCTGCAGCCAGCCTCCTGCCTCCCATCCCTCCTGCTGGGCCTTGAGCTCTAGGGGAAGGTTGTTAAACCCTAGAAAAAGAGGGGTCTTTACAGGACTTTGGGGGAGGAGGGTGGTGTTCGGTGGTGAACAGCACTGGGAATGTTTGTCCCGGGGTGGGGGAGACAGTTTCACTGGAGGCAAGAGGCAGGCTTACTGCGTTTCAGTGCTGCAGCCTGCCCCCAGGCAAGCAGCTTGTGCCTGTCTGCTCCCTGTGCTGGAAGGCTGGTGCAGGTGTGTGTTTGCAGCAATGCTGAGCTGTATGGCCTGGAAATTATTGCATCTCTCCAATTAAAGGAGAGACAGAGTGCTCTGGAAGGGAATTAAGACTGTCCCTTCCTGAAAGAGAGGCTTAATCGTGTAATGGACTAATTTGGGTATAATGGCAAATTTCAGTTCAAAATGTTGTTGATGTAATGCAGGAGCAAGAGTGTGGTTGATGGGAGAATTCCTCATGGGCCTGCACTCCCTTCAGGACCTGCTCTCCAGGGATCTCCTCGCCATAACGCCCTGGCCCTGATCTGGAAAAGGCCTATTGTAACAGAAGAATAGCTGGTTTTTTTTTGTGAAGCAGAGTAACTGCCTCCAAGTCTGTTGGTTGGTGTAAATATGCAAGATCATCATATTGCTGGGTTTTTAGGATTTTGTTCATGGATATTTTAGTTCTGGTCACTCAGGGTCTCTTTCCAGAAATGGAGAGTTGCAGTGGATCTTTTTTTCCAAACAAAATTAATCAGTGCATTGTTGGTCAAGCTGCAGTCAAACTTGAGGCGCTTGCTAGTAGAGTATGCTAACAGATGATCTATAAATACATGTGTATAGGTGTCACTTGAGTATTAAAAGGCAAAGATGACTTGTCTTTTATTCTCATAACTCAAAGTTTGCTGTTTAGCAAAGAATGCTTTTATACCTACTTTAAGACCATTAAACAATGAACCCTTCATTGTGGCTGATGACATGTGCAATTTTTGTGAGGCTGGGTTTGTCCATATGGGTTATGGACATGTCATACACTTCTGCTGCTTAAAATAGTAGTCCTGCTCTTCCACAGTACAGTAATCTAACTCTTTGTGCTGGTTAAAGCAGAGTAAAGTTACTCTGGTTTGAAAGGCTCAAATTGTACCATTTTCCTCTCTGGATATTTAATATTGGCAAACGTGCACAAAAGAGAGCAGTCAGACTGTTTTCTGTATGTTTGTGTAGTTCCTTCAGATAAACAATTCTCATTTACAAGAAATTCTGAAGAGCAATTAGAACTCATTACAGCTCATAGTTGATATTGCTACAGAATATGATTGGCTTTCATTCCAACTCCACGGGAACTTTCCTTGCACACTTCCTTCTTGGGTCATTTGAGAATATTTATTGGAATAGTACTGAAGGTGATATTTGTCTGAAGCGTGGCTTTTTGTAAGTTTTGTGCTAAAGGTCATGCACTCTCCCTAAAGCACCTCTTTTTATGACTTGGTTTGCTGGGAAGATAAACTGAATTCATAATCACTGGAAAATTTATCAGAGTTCTTTAGTGTAATCAGAACAGCGCTAGAAAATAGTGGACCTACTAGTTAATTTTACAAAAGGAAAGTGTTGCCAGTTTTTAAAACTTGTGTGCATACTCAGAAATAAAAGTTACTGATTTCTTGCTTTAGTGGAAGAAGGAGACGAGATTATATGTGCTGCATATACATTAATTCTAGCTGGCAAAATTCCTTAATATCTCAATTGAGGCACCTCCTGAGGTTTATTTTTAGTATTATATGCTATTGAATGCTAATTTATATGGTAAAGGTGACAAGATTGTTTTGTGGAGTTGCTGTGAAACAGGTACCCTCAAGTTACATTCACCCTGCTTGTAAATCAGTACTTTATAGAGTATACTAGTTTAGTTTTCTAATAGCAAGAATAAGTGGAAAAATACACTTCAGCAGTTTGCTTAACTGTCATGCGGTTGAAAATACGATCGTTTGGGTTAGGTGATTCCCAGAAGCCAGGTTTTAGTAGTCAGCACATGTAGTCTCATTTAAATAATGAGACCAGTAAAGATTTATTTTTACAATAGGCTGGTACATTCCATGTTTCATGCCATAGACCACAGTGAATTTGTAGAAACTTCGTTGTATACTGAGTTTACACATGACCAGTCCTGTACTGTATTTAATTCCATGAAAATGACAGTTCTTTTTTAGAGGGAATAACTTCTCAGCAGGGCTGGTTAATGTTTCCTTGACTGCTTTTTACATTCATTGTACTGTTTTGTGCGAGTGTTTTACCTTAATTTGAGTAAGCTAGCCTTGTACTTTAGAATGCTGCTCTGGTGTTGTGTGTAATAGCCTTTAAGGGCCAGCTGAAATGTTTCCTCATTCCTGAAGGCAAGCATAAGTTTCTTTTTACTGTCTTGCTCATCTCTGGATTTGTCTGTATGGTGTTCAGTTTTGCTATATAAAGCAGTATTTTTCACCCAGATGCCATGTTCATTCACAGCAGAGTAAGAAAGAACGTGGCAAGGGAATTCTAAAATAGAAAGGAAGGGGCAGGGAAGAAGCACAGCAGTGACAGGGTTAAAAACACTTCTTGGAGGCTAGTCCAGTATGAAGGCATGCTACCCTAAAGCAGGATGGTGAAGAGCTCTTTGCCTTTAGTTTTGAAAACCTTCCAGTTCAGACTATGAAAGATAAGTTCAAACAAGCAGTTTCATGTGCCTAATTAATGCGTTTTAGCAGTTCTTCATACATCTGACTTGATCTGGCTCAGTTTACATTCACTCTTGAAAACTGGGCATACTCTGTGATAATAAACTTTCATGGTGGGGTGTTGCAAGCCTCCTTAAAAAGCACTACTGAAAAGGCATTTGCTACATGTTTTAAGATAAAGTTTTTATTTTGTTCTGGCTTTGAAATTTATTTTTGCATGCATTTTCTCCCACAGGGCAAAATCTCTGATCAAGTTTACAACTATCCAGAGGGCTTAGGAGAAGTGCTTTATAGAGAACAGTTCGACTTCAACGCTGAGCCACCTTGGGAACCTAGCTGATGATAGTAGGGTTCCATCTCCTAACTTGTCCATGTAAGTCTCTTTTCCTTTTCTTTTCATCTGTGTGCAGGAAGATAAGCACTTCCAAAAATACAAACAGCATGTATTGGTGTTTTGGTAAGCAAAATAACTGTCTTGATGTAGATAATGAAAATCTGAAAATGGTGGTGTGCATATTTATGTGAGGCTTTCATTCAAGGGAGGACTGTAATTTCTGCCCACCTAATACTTTTCTCAGAGTTATCTGATGAATTTCTGAGAGACTTAAACGTGTGTGTAAACTTTGTAAATAGAGTTACTTTTCTGAATTAGGGCTGTTGGCTGAAGAAATCCTAAAATAAAATGCTGTAACTTCAGTCTGTCAGTGGTAATTCTGAAGTAATGAATTGACACTGCATGACTGTTAACATCAAATCATGATTTGCTGAATACTGTGTGGTTTCTTAGCGTTTTATACTGAAATAGTTAAAATTTGCAATTGTAAACAGTAACTAATGCTGATGATGAAGGGCGTGCCTTCCCAAATGCCTGTCTCCATTATTTGCTAATTACTATCCACTTCCACAAATAGTTGTAGTTGAGCTACAGTAGAATGTGGAATTCTGTGTTGGATGGAAATTGTGTACCAATTATAAATGCCTTTACATTTTTAAGAGGCAAATAGTTACTAAAGAAAAACAAAACTCATGATAACAGAAAACAAATAAATGTGCATAGCTGATCTTAAGGAACACAGAAAACTCTGGGATGTGTGATTATCCTGTTCTGTTAACATGAAACGATAGCTTTAAGTGGTTTTAACAATAGCCTTAAATGCATTTGTAATATCTGAGTTAAGCTGATTTTATACAGTGTTACTTTTTTCCTGTCTAGCTGAAGGCATTTTTGTTTGGCTTAGTACCTATAAATTATATAATGCTTTTTAATGCAAAACTTGAGAATGAGAATGGTTAAGTGCATCCAACTGAGCCAGGTGCTTTTCAAAGACCACAAAGAGTCCAAATGTCAGTTGTGTTAGTATGTCTCCTAATAAGGTACCTACTGCAGATGACCCTGTTCTTTGAAAATACTGCAGTAAGGGAGGCACAGGGTGAGCTTGGTTTATCGTGATTTCTGGCTTTATCTCCAGAGGTTATGTGTTTGTTTTGTTTGAAACTTACTGGATTAACTGCATATATCTGGTTCTGTGTAGATGACTGCCCTGTTCAAGTGAATACAGTTATCACTGAAAATTCTCTGAATATCACTGTTATTTTGTAGGTGTCACATGATTTTTGTAATAAAAAGATCTGAGAAAATTGTTTCTCTTACTCAATTTCGGCTCACTTTTGTATGTGGGTAGAACTCTTGCATGGAATTTTGCACTTTAACAGGAATAAAGTAAAGTAGAAAAAAGATAGGAAAGGCAGAAGGATTGTTAGAAGGAAGAAGTAAATAATGTATAAAATCTTAATGTACTATAAACTCATTTTAGTTTCTGAAACTGTTCCGAAGGAATTTTGGCTTTGGTCAAAGTTTTTGTCTGAGAAGATTGTTCTGATACCTTCATTGAGATTACTCTTTAACTGGTAGACTGATGTGCTGTGGCAAATAGTACAAGGTATAGCTTCTCCTAGAATGGAAATGCCATGAGATTTGCTGTTTTTCTAGCTGAATGTTCAGGTGATCTGTGTGTTTATTTTGATCTTGGATCTATTATGTGTTCAGTAATATACTGTATAGAAATGTAAGTAGTTCAGTATTGAATGTAGTGGTGATGTAGATAGCAGTAGTCTGCAAGTGTTTGCCAGTAAATGTGTACCTGTTTTGGTGTGCTGAAACACAGATGATTGCCTCAAACACAGCTAAGATGTAAGTTAGCTAGCTAATTGGCAGTTTGAGCCGTGTTCAACTTGTGAAATGATTTAATGGGAAAAAGGTCAATCGAGCTTTTAAATATAATTATTACTATCATGTTCCAATGGAACTCAAATAAAAATCTTCTGTCTGAAGGTGTACTTACATTGACATTAAACTTGCTTCCTTTTTATAATTCTTTCCCTCCCACTTTTGTCCTTGTGTTACACTGGCCAAGGAAGAACTTGGGATTTAGCTCTGTCTTGCTCTTCAAACTGACTTCCTGAGCAGTCTGGCACCTGTGGTCTGAAGTCTTGCTTTTGAGAATCTGTTCTATGTATTGCTACATCTGATTGATTAGAAATGGAGGGAATTGGTGACGGAAATCTGATCTATTAAGTGAGCCCTGTCTATGCCAGGTGGAAGCAGTAGTTGTCTGGACTGGCTAGCCTTTAAAGCTCTCATGACTTTATCTAAGTGGGACTTGAGTGGTAATTAGGGAACAGGAGGGCTGGGAGTTTGGAGGGTTGGGGGCAATGGGGAGGCAAAACCCTAATACCAAGGAAGTAAAAGGATAGAATAGGTAAGTAACTGCTTGCACTGTCATGAAAGAGAAGTGCTGGAAGGGTGCCCCAGAACTATGCATGCATGTACAACAGTACTCACTTTTGTAAGCTTTGCTAGCTTATTGGCTTTGAATGATGTATTCAAACTTCAAGAAAACAAAAGGAGGTTCTTGAAAGCATGGTTCCTGTAGAAGATGTCAGATGGGGCATTATTTTTTAGTATCTACCTCCTTTGCTTGCTTACTTCAGCAGAGACACTCTTGTTATGTTGCTCGTTTAACTGTGTGGAATACTCCTGAGGGAATGGTAGGATGCAACTAACCTAAGCTGTGCAGGTACTCTGCTCTGACCCTCAGTGGATTTGTGCTGAGACGTAACTTGGGTAGTGCAAAATGTCCACTGCCACTAGAAATGAAGACACCTGCTTCAGCACTTCCATCATCTGGTTAGTGGCTGCATTCAGCTAACTGAATGGTGAGGATGTAAGATGGTGAAATGGCATCTTGGAATATTTTTTTAAAAAGATAACTCCCATTGTAAACAGGCATTTCCTGCACTGAAAACAAAGGACTCATGTTTCTACGTTTTTAGTATACCTGTTCTGTACTTCATTGCCAATGTTGGTGACAAAATGCTTCTACTTTTTTTGATCAGTTACCCCTGAAGAACTAGTATTGTAAGCAATGTGAGGTGAATGTATTTTACCTCTTTATGATTTTTGCATCAGCATAATTGTTAATCTCATAAATATTTATTTTACTTAAGACATGTAGTTGAAGGACAGTATTGAGAGCCCATTTGGTTTGTAAAGACTTTTCTCTTTGCAGAGTAAGTTTTTATTAAAAGAACAAAACCTCAAGTTGGTGGGGTTTTTTTGGCCAAACATGTAGTTCTGACAATGTAAAGAAAAAAATGGAAAACTAGGTGTTATGAATGCTTGTGTATGATAAGCATGTGTTTAGTCACTTTTCAGAGCATTTTGGTTTTCTTCTATTCCAGATGTCTGCATTAATTGCAGTGTTTAAATATGTAAACTTTAAGATAAAAGTTCTCCAGTGGGAAATCATTGTGTTCAATCCTAAAGAGCCTGAGGATGTAACACTTACTTCAAAGAAAGCAATTGCATGCCTCTGTAGAAGTCTCATGCTACTTGACAGCTTTTGTTTGCCCTAAAATATATGTCCTGGAGCATTGTGCAGACTAACATTTCAGGTGGTAAAATGGGTGGTATTACCACACAAAGTCTGTCAAACCATGACTTGCAGTAAATCAACTCTTCCAGCAAGGACTGAACTCTGTACTGTAATGATTTCTGACTCATCTTGCAGAGATAGAAGTCGTAAACCATCCTCTCGATTTCCTTCTGTGTGTATTCACTTGATCTTTCACAAATTTTATCATTGATTCTCCTCCCCTCTTAGGATAGAAACCATTCAGACCGGAGTAAGGTTACAGCACAATCCCAAATCCTACTGCTCTGGTTAACCCCTTAGAGACATTTCTCAAGAATGCACTGTTTTGTGGTGGTGCTGTTGCAGTGCTGGTAGGAATTTCAGTTTTCTCTTTGTATAATATTCTTCCTGTCTTCTCAACAAGACTGAAAAGATGTCCTTTCTTCTAGAGCAGGAGAAATTAGAGAGGAGAGGAATGGGCTGTGACTCTGAGGACAGAAGTTGGTAGGCTAATGTTTGCTTTTTTACTAGATGAATTTTGCCAAATGAAAAAGCTTAGATGTGACAGATATGCTTAGAAAAAGCGATCACTGTTAAGCAGCCTCGTAGAGGTTATACCAGGTTGTTCATGGTTTGTTGCAAGCTATTTTATTAAGTCTTTACTAGCATGGGTTCCTTTTTGTCCCTGCCTCTTGACCATAAGATGCTTTTGGATGAATGAACTGCAAGAGACAATGTCTGTTTTAGGAAGTGACCTTCATTGATGCTAACAAAAAGCTCTTGCTGCCTGATTAATCTTTGCTGTTGTTCAAAGCTGATGTCAATTAGTTGAGTAAAACACAAATGTCTTTATCATTTTCTTTTTTTATGGAGCAGCCTGCTCTTCTGAAACCAATACACTAATTTCTGCTCTCAAACATATATTTTTCTTAAAATCTTTGACTTTATAAGTCTGAACTTTGGCTTACTCTGCTGACTTACCAGATCAGTGTTCTTGTTGTTGTATTTTGAGGAGTTAATGGTAAAGAAGCCTCTGCCCCTCATGCTTTACTTAAACCAGTTTGCTCCTTCCTCCCCGCAGTATTTCCCCAAAAGTAAAAGGGCAGCTTTTGGAGGAAAGTGTTCTTCCAAACCATTTCTGTCTGAAAGCTATACACACCACAATCATCTAAACTATGAAAAAAACGTTTTCTGAGCACTACAAAATTAGCTTAAATCTACTCTCATGTAGCTCAGATGAACACCAAGACTTGAAGGAAGAAAGCTATCTGTTGTTTAGATTGGGCTTCTTTATTTGAAATATGAGGCACAAGCAATTAGCGTGCAGAGCGTGTGTATGTCTGGTGAGTCTGTTCAGTGCTGTGACTGGTTCCACTGGGGCTGGGTGTACTGAGACCTCCAAGCAAGATCGGAGGTGTGCATTCCTTCATTGGAAGGGACTCTTGACTGTCTGCACACTTCAGAGTGGGAGAGGTGGCTTGTGGTATGAAAAAAACTCAAAACAAAGCCAAACCAAAACCCAAACCACCAAAACTTTAAAATCTAGCCAAGTAGTATCCTGGTATATACAGTAAATCCTTAAGATGCTTTAGGTTTGCTTTCAGGCTTTTTAACAGGTTTGTACAATATGTCAGGGAATTCTGAGTTTATCAGAAACAGAATTTGTCCAATTTGAATAACCTTAAATTGAAGAAGCTCAGATATGAGGCTTCTGCCAGCCCAGTCACTTTTCACGTGTGAGTGGGGAGGGGGAAAGAGCAACTGGGATCATGGAAACTCATCCTGTACAGTGTTACTGTGTTGAAGTGTTGCCAGTGAGTTTTGCTGAACTTTCTGAAGTGACAGGGCAGATTAGATGTGTCCTGAAAGATTTTACAGATTTAGATGCAGCACAAAACGTACTTGGCATTTGAAAATTTTCCTTTAACACCCTTCTGTGTCACAAAAGGATTAAAAAACTTGTGGCTTTTGAATAGTTAACAGATTACTACGTTTGAATAATCTGCTGAAAATGAAAAGCACTTTGCTCTTCCATTTGTTCACCATGGTTGTTTACTTATTCTTCTCTTTGGTATTATTTTTCTTGCAAGAAGGCAACAAAAGAGCTATTATTGTAGAAGAAAAGTTTAATGTGTTTATTACACAAGCAGCAAGTTCCTGAGGATGCATGAAGTACTTTAAAACTTAAACATTAGGCTGTTTAAGTCATAGTATAAAATAGTTCTAAAAGAATTAAACTCTGCTGTTAGGTTTTTTCTTCTTTTGATCCTCACTTTCTGAATACTCCAGAACTATATCAAATTTTCAGTAAAGTGCTGATGGTAGCTTTTCTTTCCAGGAGAGGGGAAAAAAAAAAAAAAAACACAAAACCAACCCTTTTTGGTACTTTGCTCCTGGAAATCATGGATATTTTATGGAGGTGAATGTGTTGAGGACGCTGCTAATCAGCTAGCAAATCAAGGATACTGATGAAGTTCCTGTTCAGGGGGTGACAGCTACATAAACATGACTGTGGCGTTCATGTCTGTTTCACTGATTCAAAGTCAAACAATACACAAGCTTAAAGATGTAGCTGACTGAAGGCATTTTTCCTGGTTATTGGTGTCTACTATCACCTAGCCATTGTTTTTATAATTGTAATGTACTTAATTATCTCGCTGATGTAAAGATTTATCTTTCTCTTTCATAATTGTTTTGGATCTTCAAGATGTACTTAAATAAGCATATGACTCACTGTATTTGTGAGATGTGCGTTCTTACCCGGCATACTTGTCTTTGATCGTTCAGCTTCTGAATATAACAAAATTCTCACTGCCACTAAGTTAGTCACCTGGCAGTAAATGCTTCTGTTAAGAAACATAGGTGGCATACTTGAGTTATGCAGAAAGTGTACAAAACATGCTGGCTCTTTTCCCCATTATTTGGTGTAATGACAAGCAGGAGCAGCTGCTGCTTAGTAGTTGTCTTAGTATTAGCTTGAGGTAGCAGATGAAACATCAGACAAAGCTGATAGCATGGCCTTGTAACAGTTTGAGGCCAAAATAATAAATTTAGCTTTTAGAGTCTTAGTGAAGCATTTTTTTACCTTCAGCTGTAATGTTTCTGGTTTCATCAACACTTAAGTAGAAAAATGATGCTGTTATGTTAAGGGCAAGTACACGTGGCTTTAGAAAACAACCGTAACTTTTTATAAATACTATGCAGCTTCTGTTGAAACATTAAGTCTTGGGTGTTCATGTAAAGAAAGTCTAGTTAGCTGACTAGTTTTGAACAGTCTTGTGTTAGTCATAAAGATGACAGTTGAAACAAAAAAAGTCTGATCAGTCAGTTACTGTAAAGTCATAAGTAATAAATTGCTTTTAAACAAGACCTACACCTAATGGAATGCAAGTTCCGTTTTGTAGAATATACTGATGAAGGTATATAATCAACTGTTGGTGGTTCTCTGCTGTCTACTACTTTTTACTTGAGACTCTGACTATTTAATCCATATTCTAAGACTGTGAATATTTAATAATGCTTTCTATCTGGGGACCTTGTTGATTCAGGTTGTCTTTTGAAAAATACTGCTTGTAAACACATCTAATTTGAAGTGAAGACTTGAGAATAAACAAGATGGAAATAAAGCTGGTCTAGAACTGTTACTTTCTTTTAATACCACTTCTGCTTACTGAGATTGTAATTTTTAAATCTACTTCTAGCTATTGGCTTCCTTCTGTTAACTTCTATTGAAGTGAAGATTTTTAAGTGTTGTAGGTCATTTTATGGACAGAACAACAAAACAAATGTCTAGTAAATACAACATGTGAAGGCAATGGTTATAAATTGGCATCTAAACAAAAACCAGCATATTAACACAAATATGTGAATCTAACAAATATCAATGCTAGCATTTAATCAACTACCTACAAGTTTTCTTTTACAAATTCAGAAATGTTGTATTCAGACATTCAGAAATGTCTGTATTCAGACAGTCTTCCAATTGCATACTTGAATACTAATGTTGCTAAAGATGCCTTACTTAAGAGGAGCCAGGGTGTTTGTATGCGTATGCTGCATTTGCAGTATTTTCATAGGTTGCTGAAGCTCAACACAGATCAGTGTGCACACAGTCTGGGGTGCTTCTCAAGAACAGCCTTACATTGTGGGTTTCTTGCTTGTCTTTAAGCTAGTGTCAGATTTAAAGTACATGGCGTCTGTTTTATTCTCAACTTCAGAATTGCACTAGCCTGGCAAATGGAGGGTGGACAGAGTGAAAAAATATTTGATTTTTGTAGAGTGTGTGTGTTACTGTTTGTAGTACATCAGATGTAGAAAGCTGTTTCTAGTGTTTAAATAGTGGCATAGTATGCTTTGTGCCTCTTTTCCCATTGATTTGTTTTCTTTGTACAGTTTGTTGCATAATTTAAGGACCCGGATATAAGGCTTGGAAGCCCATCCCTTGTGTTTCTTGGTTTATGACTGTCGGCTTTGTGGAATACGGCTGAGATGAAAGGATTTCTTGAGGATGCAAATTACTCCATTGGCCTGTTGGATGAAGGAGCAACTCTTGCAGATGTTATTGACAACTGTATTTATGAACATACTCATGTAAGTTTTATAAGTTTTCCAAATCTCCTGGTTTAGTTCTCTAAGTCTTCAAACTAGGTCAAGGTATTTAGCACTGATGAGCTGACAGCAACAGAGGAACAGTCGGCTAAAACTCACCTTATAAAGTACTTTCCTCTTCTAATTCTACTTCTTTGCTGTTTGTTTGCCTCAGGCTGGATTCTGTTGGGAAAATTTGGGCAATAATTGTTATGTCCCAGAGTGTGACTAGCAGGAAAGTAGTCTTGCTGATGTAGTTAAATACAGGTTCTTATCTCATTCTTTGAAAAGATGTTGTTGTCAGTGGGGTTTAGACCAGGAACTTGAAATTGGACAAGTAGATATTGCTGAATTAGAAACACTTTTTTTTCTCTTTCACTAAAAATATGCCAGAGTTCAGACAAATATGTTTGCTGAGCCAGTTTAAAGCCATGTTTAAAATTTCTGTGGTCCATCACAGTTGTATGGTTATACATCTTCCTGTTACCCATCTCTGTGTTGGAAACACAGGTATGAGCAACAAGAGCATGTTGTGAGGTGCTGCCTTTTTTCTTTCAAGAAAATGAACTGGTCTAAAAGCTGTTGAGGTTTAGCAATCCACTGGAAAGAAACTTAAATAATTCTGTGTACACAATAGTAGTTTTAGTGAATAAGGCTTCACTTGCTTGTTAGGAAGGAAGATGTTGTAGCTTTTGTTTTATAGATAAGATTGTAGAAAGAAAGAGCTTTAAAAAAAAAGAAAGTTTCGTTAAGCAATTACTGTATCCTTAATATGCCATACTTAGGAGTTGTTCACTTTTTCATTGGTTTATCAGAACTCATGCTCAAATACAAGTGCTCAACTATAGTGCAGCAAATAGCTAAATCCCATGGCCTTCTGAACTCAGGTGTAGGATTCCCAAATCCTGATTCCTAATATTCTTTTTCTGTCTAGCAAATAAATAGGTAAACTACTGGCAACATGTCATGTCTCCAACCACTGACTGGCTCACAGAGGATAGCTGCCTCCTGCTGCTTTCATTTACTCCTTTAGCTCAAGGGGTAGAGGCCTGTGCCATGGATCTAA